CCACGGGAAGCGACGGGGAGTCTCCCCGTGCTCCCTGCCTCGGGCACGGCGCAGGGACCTGGCTGTTGTCAGCGTGGGGCGTCCATCCCGGTCATGCCAAGCTGCCATCCCCCAGGGGATGGTGCCAGGAGGCCACGGTGATGGCCATCGTGCACTTAGCTGCCAGTGCCCATGGGCAGTCCCATTTCTTGGGTTAATACGATGTCTTTGGGGGTCTCACAGGTGACTGTCCCATGCCACCGCCACCCCTGCATGGCATCCCCTGGGATAAGGCACCACTGGGGCTGTTGGCAGCCTCTGCCCCCTGGAATATTTCTTCCAATGCTGGCAATTTTTATGTACGAGAAGTAAATAAGCATCAATTAACCCCTGGAGCCATGCTCATGCTGCTGGAGAGCAGCTGGCAGAGTGCTCGTTAGTGGCCCTGTCGCTGCTTCCTCCTGGTAACCAGCGTGCGAATCTCTGCCAGGTAACGGGCTCATTAGCTGGACGGACCAGCCGCCTGGACAGACACACAGACAGACCCCTGGCTGCAGGGCTGGGGCTCGCTGGGGGCATGCGGGATCTCTGCGAGCATGGCTGGGCTGTGCTGCCGTTGGGAGGGGTAGGATGTGTGGGGCGGAGACTGGGGTTTGGGGTGGTTTTGCTCAGAAAAAAACAGGTGACGTGGGGACAGCAGGGAGGGGTGGCAGCCCGGGGACAGTGATGGGGACAGCAGACTGGTGCAGGAGATGTGAAAGGGACAGGGGCAGCTCAGCAGGGCTCCCTCATTGCTCTCCTCAACTCTGGCCAGGACCAGGGCTTGTGCAATCCTGCTCTCACCTCAATTGCATTTGTTTCCCCACTCCACGCTCTGCTTGGGGCATGCAGGAGGATGTCCAGCCCCTCCTTGCACCTCAAGACCCATGGGTACCCCAAGGCTGGAGGAGTGACCTCCAGGATGTGCTGCTAGGGTGCTGCTGGCAGTGGGGATCAGCAAAGTGCTTGGGATCCTGCAAAGGGCACCTTTGTGCCCGGCTTCAGTGCCCATCCCGGGGCTCCACCAGCACCGGGCACAGCCTGGCCCAGCAGCTTCTGCCTGGTCAAAAGGACCCGGGGGGGGGTGGGGTGGGGGGTGGTCTGGGGAGGGGAAGCGCTCCCAGCAGCCGAAGCATCATCACTGCCAGATGCAAATTGATAGTCAAGTCACTCATCCAAACAATAGGGTCCGGCTAATCCTTTTACAATGGGACTAATTGCTAATCAGACCGATTTCACACTGGCTGTTCCCCTGACAATGAGGCTCCTTGGAGAAGGGCTCCTGCGGGGGGTGAGAAGGCTCTGTGGTTGCCCTCGGCTCCCACCAACCCCCCATCCCTGTGCCAGGCCCTGCGGCAGGGTCCGTCTGTGCCAGGTCCCGGCAGACGGGCACCGGCATGGCACCGGGGCCTTCCAGGTTGGCAAAACATCCATCAGCCGGTGGCCAGGGCTGGCACAGGCTCCAGCCTCATCCTCCCTCGGTGTCAACCATCTCTGAGCAAGGCTTGGGTCCACCTACATCACCCAGCAGCCCTGGTGCCACCTCCAGCCTTCACCTCCGCTACCCAGAGCATCCCCTGCCCCTCCGCAGAGCTACGGGGATGAGGGCTGGTGCCTGAAATGGTGGATGTCATCCCCTGGCACGGGCTGGGTGTGCGCTGGGGACTGCTGCTCCTTGCCGTGTGTTGTTTGGGTACCGGGGGGCTGTGGTGCTGTGGGGGACCAGGATGCTGGGAGGGTTTCAGTGCTTTGGTGAGGGGCCTGGGTCATTGGAGCGGGGTGGTCAAGGAAAGGATGCAATGGGGACAGACAGATGAGGAGGGAGACACAGCAAGGGTGCAGGGCATGGCCAGCCCTGCAAAGGTGCAGATTGCTGCAAGAAGTGGTGCAGGGCTTGGGGTTGCAGGCCAGAGCAGTGTCGGCAGCGTTGTGGGGACCCTGAGACTGGCACCAGCCTTCGCCTGCTCCCCCTGCACCCTGACAAAATTTGCCAGCCCCTGGTGCACACCCCTGCCAAGGCAGCTGCTGTCGGGGAGGCTTTGCCAACCCTGATATCCCCCTGCACATCCCTGCGCTGGCCGGGAGCTGAGCCCCACAGTTTGGGCCATGCAACCACATGCTGCTCCCTGCCAGCCCGGGGCTGGGTGCTGCGGGGTGCCGGGCGCTCGGGGGGCTGCCTGGGGGGCTGCTGGGGCGGTGATGGGTGAAGCAGGTCCCTGACTGCGTGCTGTTAATAAGCTCCTGCCCCGCCCCCCTGCCCCGCTGCCCTGTGCTGTGCACCCCGAGCCGCGGCCGGCCGAGCACGTCGGGGTGCTAATGAGGAGAGAGCCCGGCTCGCTGCGCCTTGCATTTAATTGCCTCTGTCTTTTGGCTCTTAATGAAGCTCCACTGCGAAAGAGGCAGCAGCCTCCTCTCCCCTCCTCTCCCTTGGGCAGCCTGACCCCGCCAGCTTCCCCCCCCACCGCCCCCCAGCCCTGTCCCCTGCCCGACACCAGCCCGGCCCTGGGTCTGTGGGTGATGCTGGGTGCCTGGGTGCCCTGGGCTGGAGCTGCGAAGCGGGAGGGAGGCAGTAGCAGAGGAGGAGGTTAGCACCATGCTGAACGTCACCCTCCATCTAGCTGTGGCGTTCCCAAACCCACCCAAACACCGGCCCCTCTCTCCGTGCTCTGCATGGCAGTTTGGTCCCAGCCGCAGAGCGCTGCCGCATCTCCTGCCCCCGGGGCTGAGCAGACCCGGGGAGCGCTGGCACGGGGGGAGCAGGGCTATATAGGAGGTCCCCAGTCCTGCGGGGGGGCCCAGCAGCAGCCGGGCATCACCCCAGCGAGCCCTGCTCGGGTGTTCCCCAGCCCCCCGGGTGATGTGTGTGGGTGCAAGGTGACACCACGGGGCTGAGCTGGCTGGTGGCTCCGGCTCTGCAAACGTGATGGCCACATGCTCTGGTCCCTGCCGCTTGCCCCGTGGCTCAGTGGCACAGAGGGGAGCCTGGATCATCCTGGGGCTCAAGGGAGAGGTGTTTGGGGGGTCAGGGAGAGCTCTTCCTGCCAGGCAGGCTGGCCCAGGGCTTGGCTTGCTCCAGCTGAAGGCGATGAGCGGCGGCGTGAGCAGCAACTGCCACGGAGGGCAGCGCGTGTTCCAGCCTGTTCCCTGGTCTGTGCCAGCCATGGCCTGTCCCCTCCCCAGCTGTGCATGGGGCCGTGCAGGAAGGGGTTAACGGCTAGCCCATACCTGCAGTTGCATTTTAAAGATGTGAAATTAAAGCCCGTAATTTATTCTCCCCACACACGAAGGAGCAATTAGTTCTAAACACGGCTTAATCAGTCAGCGCGAGATTGATTTCTGTAGACTTGGATTTGGTGGCTGCTGGCGAGGAGCCAGCCTGGGAGCAATCTCCAAATAAATGAAGTGCAGAGAAGTAAGCCATTACATAATATGATAGATGAGGCTGGAGCTCACTCGCCTCTTCATTAGTATTCCACTGTACACTGGCAATGGCACCAAACTTTCTCCCCAGCACCTTGGTTTCTTCCCTTTCCTTATCCCTCTACCCCTCCTGCAGCTCGGCAGGGGCAGGAGGAGCTGCTGCCGAAGCCTGAGCCCGTGGGCTGTGCTGGAGCAAGGGTCTCGACACTGTGGACTGATGCTATTCCCCGGGTTCTGCATCTTGCCTTTCCCCTCAGGACCCTGGGGGAACTGAGGCACAGGGAGCTGGAGCTGCAGATCAGCAGCAAGAGGCAGATGTCCTCACCCCCTCTCTTCCCTTGGCCAGAGCTTTGAAGGCATCTCCCCAGGGTCATCTCAGCCTGTCCCCTCATGGGTTTGGGGATGTTTGCGCTGGGGCACGGCCCCTGGTGCAAGCTCCCTGCCTCCTGCAAGGGCATCCCCGCTCCAGCCAGCGAGCTGCTCAGAGCTGCAGCAGCAGGCAAGAGCCAAGAGAACCAGAGTATTGCTCTCGGTAGGAAACTCCCTTGAGATGCTGGATGGGGATACAGGGAGCCAGAGGTGTCTGGGGAGAAATCAGTCCCCAGGCAGCCCTTGTCTGGGCAGCGGGGGTTGGAGCTGGGTTTCCAAACCCACTGTGCGGAGGTGCCCGGGCCTCTCGGTGCCATTCGTCCCTGCAGACAGGCAGAGAACCAGATCCTCTCTGCCTCTGGCCCCTGGCCCTGCTCTCAGGGTGTGACAGGCATTTTGGGGACAAGATCTTGCTTCCCTGGTGCTGACACGTTGCTTGGGGCTGCGGTGGTGCCGACACACACTGCACAACGCGTGCTTCTCCCTCCCCAGGAGGGGAGCACATCGCAAAACGATGCCGGGCAGGGAAAGCAGTTTGGAGCCAGCTCCAGAGGGCTGGTGCTGGGGGGTGCGTGGGCACTGGGGGTCCCTCTCCCCGTGGAACTGGTTGGGTGCCTGGCAGCGGGGAGAGTGGGCTGGGACCTTTTCAGAGGTGCGTGTGGGCAAGGCTGCGCTGGGAGCATCCTGGGGGGCTCTGCTTGGAACATGGGTGGCCAGGGCTGGGAGGGATGGAGAGGACCTGGACCTCTGCATGGACATGATGCAGAGCCTGGCTCGGCCCCTGCTTTTGTTGTCTCCTCACCTTGTCCCTCCCCAGGCTCCTGACAAGGAAGAAGAGCCCCCTGAGACCCGGCCCTGCCTGGTGCAGGGCTGGTGCAGGTCCCAGGGGCACATGCTAAAGACACCCCATCACACTCCCTGCCATGACAGTAATTGTGCTAACGACAGATAGCTGATTGATGTAGCAAAGGGCCATGACCCCTGGGCTCCCAGGGGTGAAATGCCTGGTAGTGAAATGGGAGACCCCACCAGCTGAGCCCTCTGAGCCCCCTTTGGCTCAGATAGCTGAGGGGTCCCAGGGGATGGAGCCTGGGTGCTCCATCCACCCCCCCAGACCCGTGGGCATCCCCCCTCCTGCCTTGGGGTGCTGGAGCCGCTGCTGATCATCCCCTCTGTCCTTGGTGTCTTTGCAGAACTCCATCCGGCACAACCTCTCCCTGCACACCCGCTTCATCCGCGTGCAGAACGAGGGCACCGGCAAGAGCTCCTGGTGGATGCTGAACCCCGAGGGCGGCAAGACGGGGAAGACGCCCCGCCGGCGGGCGGTCTCGATGGACAACAACAGCAAGTTCCTGCGCATCAAGGGGAAGGCCAGCAAGAAGAAGCAGCTGCAGGTGACGCAGGAGCGCGGGGAGGACAGCCCTTCCTCCCAGCAAGCCAAGTGGTCGGAGAGCCCTGCGTCCCACGCCAGCGACGAGTACGACGCCTGGGCGGACTTCAGGACGCGGGCCAACTCCACAGCCAGCACGCTGAGCGGGCGCCTCTCGCCCATCATGTCCAACCACGAGCCAGACGAGCTGGAGGAGGATGACGGTACCCCCTCCTCCCCGCTGATGTACCCCAGCCCCTCCAGCACCATGTCTCCTTCCCTCAACGCCCGCTGCTCTGTGGAGCTGCCCCGGCTGACCGACCTGACTGGCACCATCAGCCTGAACGAGAGCCTCGGGGAGAGCATGCTGGAGGACCTGCAGGACGGTTACACCATGAGCCCTTCGCAGCAGCTCCCCCCGGCCGCCCTGCGGCAGCGGAGCTCCAGTTTCACCTTCAACTCCAAGTGCTCCACCATGGGGGCTGCCACCAACACCTACTGCGGGACTATCTACAGCCAGCCGGCCATGAGCCTCATGCGCCGCCTGCCCATGCAGACCATCCAGGAGAACAAGCAAGCCACCTTCTCGCCCGTCAGCTCCTACAGGAACGCCTCGCTGCAGGACCTGCTCTCCTCCATCTCCTACGCGCACAAGGAGAGCATGGTCCCGGGGGACCTGCCCCTGCCGCAGGCCAGCCCCATGGTGCCGGCCCGTGGCCACAGACACAACCCGCTGCTCTGCGGGAGTGGGGAGCAGGGTTTGTCCTCCTACCCGTCCCACTCGGGCTCTCTGATGAAGAGCAACGCTTTGTACCACCCGTCACCAGCCGGTCACCACCCTGCGGTCAACACCAGTGCCTTAGCTAATCCTGTCAGCCTTATGAGCTTGCCCAGTGACACGTGCAGCATGACAGCCATGCCGCACCATGGGCATCTGCATTCCTACGCTAATAACCAAGGGGCACACATGAGCTTGCTGGATTCGCTGCAGGGCCCCTACCCGGGGGCTGTCCACCCCCCCGTGTTGGGCCAAGACAGGTTCCCAGCAGACCTGGACCTGGACATGTTCAATGGGAGCCTGGAGTGCGACGTGGAGTCCATCATCCTGAATGACTTTATGGACAGCGACGAGATGGACTTCAACTTCGACTCGGCTCTCCCGCCGCAGAACGGGCTCAACGTGCCCGCGCTGCCCGGGGGCCCGCAGCCCACGAACCAGAGCTGGGTGCCTGGGTGACGCCCGCCCCGGGGTGGGGGGGCTTGCCACCGAGAAGCCACGAGGGGAACATTGAGACTAACTTTTTTTTTTCCTTTCTCTTCTGCCTTTGTTTGTTAAGATGGGCTAGAGCCATCGGTCTGAGCTTGAGGTCGAACACAAAACACAAACCGTAGGGTCAAATATTGAGTCGGTGTAGGGCCCCCAGCCCCCACGTGTGCCCGGTCTGCTGGGTCCTCCCACGAGCATCCTCCGGAGGATGCAGGGCAGGCGGGTGGGAGAAGCAGCTGGAGCCAGGCGGGTCGGGAGGGGGAACGGGAAGGGAAAGCCTTTCCAGATGGTCCCAGTGCCCCACTGCGACGGTGCCAGTTTGATTTGTCCTTGGCCTGGGTGACGGAGCAATGATGGTTGGTGGTGCGGGACCCCCTCTGCATGGGCATCTCTCTCTGGAAAGGATCCCTTTTCTCTGAGCCACCTCGGGAAACGAGTCCTCTGAGTAGAAGTGTCAGGAGCGGGGACCCTGGCCCAGGGCAAGGAGGGGCTCGTCACCCCTAAATCCTGGTGGAGATCTGCACTCTGCCAAGCCCGCGTGCCCAGGCCACCTCCACTGGAGGTCTCCTTGCGTGGCTTCAGGCAGGATTCCTCACCGAGCGGTGATAAGGCAGGGTTGGAGGGAAGGGCGTGCAATCTGCATCCCTGGGGACAGCATCTTGGCAGCCCCTGCACCCACCGGTGGCTGGGGGGTGCCACGGTCACACCTGCCCACAGGAAAGCTGCGGTACCCTGCCTGGAGCAGGCGTGGGCACGCTCCTGCGTGTGGTGCACAGCCCTGCACGGGGGGGGTGGTCCTGCTGGGAGGGACATGCTGCTGGCCTGGGTCCCCCGTGCTGGAGGCTCAGGGGGAGCTCACAGGGTCGGGGAGGGGGGCATATTTATTTGATTTCATGCACTCTTTTGCCATTGAGTTTTTGCATTTGGAAGGAAAAAAGGGTCAAGCTTAGGGAGAGGAGGAAAGAGGCCGTGGGCAGTGCTGATGGCTGCGCCCCATCGCACATCTTGTCTTGGCTTTGGATGCTGGATGATGGGGTGGAAGCTGGGGGTTGTGATGTGGGTCATCCTCGAGAAGGGGGTGTGTGCGTGTGAGGAGGGGAGGAATGCGGTGGCCAGGCCTCCAGAGGCAGCGTGGGGTCCCCCCTGCCCCAAACCTGGGTGACCCACACTGCCTCCCCTGCGTGCAAAGCTCAGGGAGGTGCCGCTGGGCTCACAGCTGGGACTGTGGGGCTCCTGGGGGGTTGCTCCTGGTTTCAGGAGTGACTCCAGCCAGCAGCATGTCTGTCCCGGAGGGCTCTGTCCCCATCCCTGGGACACCAGGAGAGCTGGTCTGGGGGGGCTGTCAGCCAGAGCAGACAGCCCTGTTGCACCCGTCTGCCAAAGGCCAGTGCCCCATGGGGGTGGGGGTCACGATTCACACATGGTCCTGGTGTGTGTCGGGAGCCCAAACCAGCCCCACTGCTCTGCGGGGCAGGAGTTGGGCCAGGGTCCCACTGCCATCCTGCACGGCAGGGCCCAGGGCTCCCCGCTGCGGGGTTTTTGAGGGGGGGGGAAGCTGGAGAAGCTGGTCCAGAGGAGATGGGGGGACTGGGAGGAGAGGCGATGGGAGCTGCTGCTCTGCCCCACGGGGTCTCCGCACAACCCATCTTCCTCCTGGTCACCACAGGCTTCCTCTAAACCTCCTACCCCTGGGTTGCAGCCAGGGTTAGTCCACTGAACCAGCATGTTTTCCCAGCCCAGCTCTTCTCTTCTCGCTCCAGCACCACCTCCTCTACCACGGTGCAAGCGCTGGGTCCCGCCAAGCCACGGGGGAAGCGTGGGAGCCGGGGCAGCGTGGGACCCGGGGGTGGGCACCTCCCGCTCCAATCCTGACCCACGCGTCTGTGGCAAAGCGTGACAGAGGAGCCCCGTGTGCCACCGCTCACCTTCGCCCTGGGCACACGGCAGACACAGTCTCTAAAGACATTCTTACAAGTTAATTAATTATGTTTACATTATTTGATCATGTACAGAATTTAATATATTCTATTATATATAATCTTTCTTGAATGCTTTTTTAAAAAGGATTATTCTTTGGTCAGGATCATTACCGCATTCGTTTTATACACCACCTCTTGTTTCAGGCATCTTTAAAATCATTGGGAACCGATTGCAAATTTAATACCCAGCACCCCAGCTCTGCACATGGGGTGTGAAGGACTGCTAGCGAGGAGAGGCAGGGAGGGCAGCTGGGGCTGCCATGGGAGAAGAGGGGGGCTCTGCCCCCCAAGCATGGGAGAAAGGGAAGGGGTCCTGGCTCTTCCAGGCATCCCATCTCCAGGCACACGTCCCGCAGCACACCAGCACGCCGGGCAGCGCGGGCTGGCTGGGGCTCGCCGCGGCAGCCGGGCGTTTGCAGATGGGATGCTCAGGCACAGGGACCCCCCCCCCCAAAAACCCCTTCGGTGTCACAGCTACGGGCCAACCATCATCGCCGAGGGGAAGCCGCACCAGCAGTAGGAGAAAACCCCCTCCTTGTCCTGCGCCTGCCCCGCTCCTCCTGCCTTGCTCGCCTCCCCCTGCCCCCGCTGCGTGGTGCCCCCGGGCATCCACCCCCCCCCGGGGAACGTCCCATTGCAAAGCTGTCTTTGTGGTTCGTGACCGTGGGGTTGTTGTGTGTGCGGTGGAGTCGTGTTGGTAAGCGTCATGTGTACAGTCGTCGTGCGGTGCGAGGGACGGCGGGCAGTGGGAGGCAGGCACAGGGACACCACACCCCACACCCCCCCCCCCCGCCCCCCAAAGTGGCTGGGACCCCGGGGAAGCGGGGGTGGGTAGAGGGGGGGAGGCGAGACGGGCTGGCCCCGCCGCGGCGGAGGGGAGCAGAGTGGAGGGACGCGGGGATGCCAGGGCCACGGGTGGTGGTGATGGCACGGGGGTGTCGGGGCTTCGTGCCCGTGGGGCGGGCGGGTCCTGGGGGTGGCCGGTGCGTCCGTGCCCCCTGCAGCTCCCACCGCCCCGCTGCCAGTGCTGCTGCCAGCGCGGGGATGGGGAAACCAGGGCTTTATTTCACTGTCCAGCAGTGGCCGAGGCTCCAGGTTCCCTCTCTGGAAACAGCTCCCTGAGCACAGGCCACCTCACATCCCACTTCGCTCGGCTTCAGCCTCCCCACTCCATCACCCCCCCCTCCCTCCCGGCCCCCCTCGCCCCACAGGACAGCCTCTGGGGACAAGGAGCATCCTCTGCTCCCAGCCCTGCTCCTGCCCAGCCCGAGCCCGGCCTGGAGCGAGGAGCTGGCGTTGAGGGGACGCCGAAGGGGCCCCACCAGTTTGCTTCATACGGCGGTTTTCAGTCCGTCCTTTCCCTCGTATTTATAACTGTACAGACTGGGGGGGAGGGTCTCTGACAGGCGTCATCTCTCACCACACATCTATCGTAGGCAATGGTAACTTTCTTGATCGTGCTATTAGAGTTTGTGTATGTGGCAATGTAAAGAACTGTGTATAGTGCATTGTACAGCATATTTTCATGAATAAAATTGTTTTAAATATTACAAGACAGGAGTGATGCCTTCAATGCTTATGTGTGTCTGGGCTGAGACAGGAGGGACAGTGCTGGACCAGTGAAGCTGGGGGGACATGTGGGGAGAGCCACCAAGGAGAAGATGTGAGGTTTGTTGAAACTGAGCTTGCACCCAGCATGGGGATGGTTGGGTCATGGAGGTGTCCGTGCCATCCCACCCGGACACAGACCTCTGGACATCATCCTGGGCAGTCTATAAATACATGTATTTGCTGACTTTTACCAGTATTTCCTGAGACTGACAGCCTGCCTCAGTGTCACGTCTTCCCGGGGCAGTGCTGGGTGACCTTGTCCAGCTCGTGGGGGTCTTCATGCCCTGCACCCGCTGCCCCAGACCCCTTTGCTCCCCAGCGAGGCTCTCTGGGTGCAGCCCCCAGCCACTGGCCTGGAAATCCCCCTTTTGAGCAGCTGTTGAAGTTGGTTGGACTGAAACTTCCCCTTGAGGGTTCATTTATTTCCTGCCCTGGAAAAAATTGCTGAAGTGACTGGAGGCCATGGCTCCTATTTTGGGTGATGATTTAGGGTCTTGGGGCAGAGTGGGTTGGGAAAACACCTCTGTGTTTCAGTGCTCAGGTTCAGGGATGGGTCTAAGATCCCTCATTCAGCTCTGAAAAGTGGACTTGACCACCCCAGGGGTTCATCAGAGCAGGCTGGAGAAGCTGAAACCCCTCTGAGATGCTCTCAGGCACAGAAAGCTGAATATTGCCCCGCTGTCAGGCACCGAACGGGCCCACACCAAAACCCCTGTGTCCACGCCAGCGGCGCAGCTAGCCAGTCTGTCCTCCTCATCCTGCCTCTCCTTGGGGAGATATTCAGATGGCTTCTCCTAAGGCTCTGCAGGGTGGGCAGGACTCATCCCAGGCCACTCAGGGAGGACCTTAATTCAACTTCTCCCTCGATAAACAGCTGAAATAAAGGTGGGGAAACTGAGGCAGCCGCCAAAATCTATTTCAAAATACCACCCCCCTCTCCCCGGGGTGCTCAGAAGGGGCTGCTGGTGGCGGTTTGCAGGAGTCCGTGCACACCACGCACAGCATCTGAACTATATGCCTCCGTCATATTGCACTTGTGGTCAAGCACCCCGGTGTCACCAGTTCAGCCGTCTCCCACTTGCTGGTGCTGCAGGTGGAGCATCTTTCCACTCTTGTGGATCTGGCATTGTCACTCCATGTCTCCCTGTAGCAAAGTGCAGACACGAGGAGTCCTGGCGGGGAGGCTCGAGGCACCCGGTTCTTGTCCCACTGATGGTCTTCTGGTAACTTGGAGAAAAAAATCATTAGCGAGGCAGCGTGGTCACGTCTCAGAGGTGCTCCCAAAGGCCTGGCATGTCCCTGTAAGCTGGTCCCTATAGGTCAGTCCTGGACAAAATGATGAAGAAGAGGAGGGATTTCAACTACTAAAGACTTTCCTATCAGAGAATTCAATTAGTGCAGAATTTAATTGCTGTGGCTCAAGGGAGGGGGGTGTTTCAGCCCCTGGCCCAGCAGCAAACACGTCTGGGTGTGGGAGGGCACAGCTGTTGGTGCCGTGCCGGCACGGGGCACACGGGAGCTGGCACGGCCCTGCTGTGCTGTGTGGTGTGTGCCAGGAGTCACTTCAGAGCCAACAAAGCTCACAGCGAGTGGGGAGTGTGGGATCTGTGGGGCTGGAGGAGGGGTGCTGCAGAGGGGCCCCTCTTTGGTGGCTGAGCTCCCTGGGACAGGAGGGTGTCTGGGGCGGGATGTGGCATTTATGTCCTGAGTGGGCAAGAGGTGGGAGCAGCCCCAATGTTCCACGGGCGAGCTGCAAGAGCCCAACGGGACGTCACCCCCGTTGTCACATCTCATGGGGCTCAAGGGTCAGGGGCAGAGGGGCACAACCAGGGTGTTTATCTGCGGGAGGACAACAGGATCCAGGTGGTTCTTGCGGGTTTCCACAGGGATTTGTGCTTGACATGAAGCCACTCACCTCGCTGCAGGGAAACCTGCAACGTAACACAGGATCCCCGCTGACAGGTTCTGCAGAGGTTACAGGGCTGGCAAAGCCGTGGTGATCTCAGGAAGCCAGCAGGTGCAGGTCTCGCCTCCGGAGTGGGTTTAGCTCAGCATTTCGTAGGAGCACGGACCAGAACTGAGGCCACTGCGATCGGGGCTGGAGCAAAAGTGACAGCAGGAAGAGTTCGGGGGCTTGAACACCTCACACATTGCGTGAGCTACAACTGCGAGGCAGCAGCTGCAAAAGGGCCCAGAGGAACAAGGACCCCCTCAGCACACAGCACGGGGGTGGACAGATGATACAGGTCCCCCAGACAGCGGCACCGGGAGGCAAGCGGGGCCACGCAGCCTCTCACTCCTCAGTGTTGTTAGTGCCGTGCAGGATCCTGTTGCACCAGAGGCATGAAGCCAGGATGGGTTTTTACCAAGAGAAGGTGCTTCACTCTTTGGTGTATCCTCCAGGGTCCCTGGCCAGCTTTTACAGCATCCAGCACCAGACACGGGCACTGGAGACGCAACTCCAGAGAGCACCAACAGAAGAAACATTACTTTTATTCACGTTATCCCTTTTCACTGGCATTATTAGTCCGTTCCACGGCAGTCTGCTGCCCAGTGCTCCCCACTCTACAAATCACCCCCACTGTCCCCCCCAGCCCCACCAGTGACTTCCCAGCAGGACCTCCCTCCTCACAATCAGCACTGCTGGGACACAGAGAGCCCAGCGCATCCTCCCCATCGCTGGTGGGACCAGCTGGGGAGAAGAATCCCCTGCAGAGCCCTGCAATGGCAGTTTGTGCCTGCTGCTTGGCCAGACAAGACCATGACCTCCTAAATGTGGTCTTAAACCACCCCAAGTGGTAGTTTGGGTTTTCCTATTTTTGTGAGAAAACATCACACAGCACCCAGGTAATCCGTTGCTGCTCTCCATATCCTCAGCAAACCCCACTACTTTGATGGAGAAACTTGTAATCCTGGTTTTAAAGAAAAAAGAAAAAAAAAAAAAAAAAACAACAGGAAGAAAGACATCAAGTTGGTTTGACAGGAACTATTTTCCATAAATCCCTGTTGATTGGCATTAATTATATCACCCTTTCTGATTCTTTATTCATTGCATTCCATATCAGCCGTTCTATTATTTTGCCTGGGATCAATGTCAGGCTGACAGACTTGTAATTATCCACGTCGCCCTGTTTCCCCTTTTAAAATATTAGGCCAACCTCCACCCTTCTCCCAGGGCCCCCCAAATTCCCATGTGCTCTGCACCATACCAAAACCCAACAGCAGTGGTCCAGGACATGCTTCAGCCAAGTCTGCTGGCTGGTGGTTTTCCTCCCTGGAAGACTGCAAGCTCCTGAAGCCAGGCATCTCCCATCAGCTCCTGAGCAGAGCCCGTTTTTTGCTCCTCATGGTTGTCCTCCTTCCAGATGCTCAGCAGAGCTGGGTGCTGACAGCTTTTGCCCACTCTGCACACACTGACCTTCTCCCACTGCCACCTCCGAATGCCACCACCGTCACCAGGAGCCCGGCAGGCTCAGCCTTCGTACAGCGCTCGGTGCAGCCCTCATGCGAGCAGAACTTGCAGCCTGTTGAGAAGGTAGGATTTGCTGTTGTGCCAAGAGGTTGGACAGGATGGGTCAGTGGCTGTTCTGGTCTGAAATGCGGTGGCAACGCAGCCTGGCTGGCTTCCCACCCAAGCTCACTCCTGCTCCGGTGACATCCTCACCCCCCCCCAGCAGCAGCACCCTCCCCAAGGAGTGGGCTGCTCTCCTGAAGTCATTTCAGCCCAAACTTCAGCTTCCCTTGACCCTGTGCTCAGCCCCGCTCTTCTCCTCGACTCCATCTGCTCCCTGTGCTCTCAATCTCCCAGGGCTGCCCAGAGCCGGCCTCCACCTCCAGCTCTCTGTGCCCTGGCAGCTCTCATGCCCTCCTGCTCCTCCCTGCAGTCCTCCCTTCTGCCACTTTCTCAGCCTCATTGCACCACCAGATGGGAAGACGAGCATCCCATCAGGGTAAAGAACTGGATCCCACCAGTACTTTGGTCGTGGTACGTGGATACCCTGGATGCGACCAGCCCATCATGCAGATTTAGGAAGCCAGGGTGTCGGTGTTGCCCTGGCACCCTGGGCTGTGGATGTGCCTTCCCAGCCCCGAGCCCAAAGCCACCCTGCAAATGGACAAGCCATCAACCAGACATGCTCCCCAGTGTGACTCTCAGACTATGGATGATTTCCATCTGACTGTAAAGAGGGACTGCTCTGCACATGTCCCACCCTCTGTCCTGCTCTAGGGAGTGGGAGGAAATGGAGCAGGGCCACGCAGCGGCTGCACGGCCCCGAGCCAGGACCAGCTACATGCAAAGTGCTGGCAGCTCCTGCAGCCATTGCAACAGAGATGCTCCACTTGCAGTGCTGGTGACTGCTGCTCTGTCAGCTCTCCTCATGTCCCAGTCTGCGAGGATCCAAGGATCCAGTCTGCGAGGATCCAAGGATCCACTGTGGAGGTCCTCAGGCAGGACAGAATCAGCTGGAGGTAAAGGGGATAGCAGATGGCAGTGAGCTCGGCTCAAATTCAGCTTGGGTCTCAAAGAAGAAAGCTCTGGGGTTGCAGAACAAGGCTGAGAGATCAAGAGCTGATTTGTCCAGTTCACACAGGACTGCCCTGACTGGCAGGGACCCCTTTGAGAAGCTGTACAAAGCCCATGGTCCATGAGAGCTTCTCCTTCCCATCCTACCCATCAAAGTGAGCTGGATGAAGTCAGCAGGGCTGCGGAAGGCGGCTGGCTTGGCCCATGCCTGTGCAGCCTGGGACAGATTGATATCATTGGGAAGGGGATGCTCTTTATAGACTGTTATCCAAGACCTTGTCCTTCAAAGGATGCCCAAAACATCTTAACGAGGAGGCCTTCCAAAAGAGCAGGAGATACGTGTAGAACCCTGAGCATCCATGCAGAGCTGAGGGAAGGTGTGCAGGAAGGTGGGCAGGGTTCAGGGGGAGCAGG